ACCACTACGTCTGTATCAATTGTAGCCTTGGCTAAAGCATTTCCTTGTCTGTTTTCCCCAGTACTGTCGCATGCTCTGTTCCGTGCATTGAAATACCGACAAATTAGAAGCCTATAACAGGTGATTTGCTCCAACTCTCTAAGCCAGTCTCAGTGTTTCTTTGGGACAAGATGGTCAACAGCAGCGTAAACATTTACTAAAATCCACGTTGTGCCCCCATATCTATCTGTATAACCCGAATCTCCAGTGTACTAGGATTCCACTGGCCAGGTTTAGAACCACATGCTTCACTCCATTCTTTACCAGCAGATATTGCCCATGTCTTCCCTGTCTGGTAGGATTTTTATAACTAATGCATCCAATACACTTGTATCTATCTATGTTTAACTTCTGAAGCATAATGATATCAAAGTCATAAATCAGCCTCTCCAGTACAGGTCATCTCTGCTTGGCACTACGAATAGTTTTTTTTAATTGACCACTGGCCAGTCTAATAATGCAAACCGGCAGTTTTAAACGGTATTGCTTCTTCTTTATGTTCGATGTTACACATGTTGACCATTAGGCTTATTCAAAAACGTGGTTGAAAGCATGAAATGTATCATGATTTTCAACCTTAGCCAGTTACTATGTGTCTGTGTTAAAACAATATGGCATCCGAGCAAACATCTTCATTCATGCCAACATGATTTATGACTTTAGCAGCCTTATTTTTTTTTAAAATGCATTAATCAAATTTTTTCAAAGCTAGACAAAGGAAGTTATAAAGTAGAATTGTTTCACTCATTGGTGGAGTCTAACTTTGATGCGGGATAGCTCTGATCTCACACAAAGCCTAAAAGTCAGCTCGTACAACGAGAATTAAATATTGGTAAAAAAGGCAGTAATCTGCATTGTCAGTTAGGTCTAGTGAAAAATCTTTTACTTGGGAGCAAAGGCTATAGAATTACGGGCAAACTGAGTGTTATACCTGAATACAGTTCCTTTTTAGGGTAATACTAATTGTTTTCGGAGGTCATGTTTTTTTTACCACAAAATGTTGCTCTGTTATGGTGTTCTGAGAATTTCTCTGGAACGAGATCTAATTAACATTTTATATTGATATTTTATTCATGCACTATTAAGTGGTTCTTGTTCATTTGTGACTGACAAGGGAAAATAATGCGCATCAAATCTATTCGTATAAATGTAACGTCAATGGAAGAAGCAAGCTGTGCATGTTGTTCAGCCTGGTTCTATTCATTCGGTAGTTGTTGTTGCTACTGCAGCTGCTGAGGTTGACACGAGGAAGTGTGTAATGTTTGTTGGTTGTTGGTTTGTGTCACGCTGTCAACAGCTAGCACACGTTGCAGATTTTTCATTATTCCTTTTAATGTAAGGTTTCCCTCTCTCAATGCTGTATCTCTGATCTGAGTATGTATTAGTCCCTTTGACCAGTGTTCACTCCATGCTCAGTTAGTCCCTCGAAATATGGATGCTTTCTCTGTCCTGTTGTTCTGTTACAGGAAAGCCTTCACCATGTCCGCTTTTTAATAAAGTAGCACTAGATCAGGCTGCCGAAATGTTACACAACACCAGTTCTGACTGCCACCAAGTGGTCATATTCACAGATGCGCTATCAGTGCTTCAAGCCCTCAAGAGTGGCAAACTCCCTCACTTGAGATCTGAACTTGGCAAGGTGGCTGCCCAAAAGTGTACTGTACTCCAGAGGGTGCCATCCCACTGTGGTATACCAGGAAACGAAACCGCAGATAAACTTGCTAAAAAAGGGGCAGAATGTGACCAAGAAGAGAATACAGTAACATACTATGAGAAGAAAAGGGCCATCCAGGCTATTAGAAGTGAACAGAGTCTGGCCAGAGATGACTACCACTTACTTGACCGGCATGGGCAGGTCATTGTCCTACGTCTCAGGACAGGACATAACAAACTTAACCAGCATATGCACAGGCTTCGTCTAAGTAGTTCACCTTTTTGCCCTTGTGGGCTATTTGTGCAGACTACAGAACATGTCCTGCAAGACTGTCCCTTGTTCAGCCCATTAAGAAAGAAATACTGGCCCAGTGAGTCACCACTGTTCACAAAGTTGTATGGGACTAAAATGAACTCATAAAAACAGTCACGTTTATCACAAGAACCTGTCTATCGATGTAAATCAGAAAGCGAACACAAGAAGAAGAAGAATAAAGTAGCTCACTGTCCAGAGGGGCAGCATCAGTCTGTAAGTCTGCTCTTTGCCACATACCCCACAATATAATAAATACTGTTACGTTTATGAAACGTCTCAGCAAGAGACCACAAGTCCCTACTCTATACACCCCAATGAATTCCAGAGAAATTTGACTAAAAAGCTCAACAAAATGGGACAGAAGGTCCAACCCGATCATCCCTACTTCAGTTCTTGTACGCCTTGCCGAACTGGTACTGACCCTCAACTCTTTTGAGTTTAATGGTGAGTATTTTGACCAGATCAGTGGGGTTGCGATGGGCACCAATATGGGTCCTAGTTACGCGTGCCTCTTTATGGGCCACCTGGAATACGAGGTCAGTTTATCATACCCGGGCAAGTTTCCGGAGGTGTATAGGAGATACATAGATGATGGCGTTGGTATCACCGAAATGTCCATGGTTGAGCTTGACCAATTTATTACTTACATCAACAATTTCAATCCGGCTATCAAATTCACCTCACTGATCTCCACCACTTCAGTTAACTTTCTTGACATCACGATTAGCATCGATTTCCCGTGTCTGAAAACCACAGCCTACTACAAACCCACGGATTCTCACAGTTATCTCCTCTATACGTCTTCTCACCCACTACCGTGTAAAAATTCTATTCCATATTCACAGCTCCTTCGATTGCGCAGGTTGTGCTCTGACGATTCTGACTTCTTTGATAAATCAGTTGAACTTCTTGAATTCTTCCGTGCCCGTTTCTATCCGGAACACATTCTACAAGGGGCTCTAAACAAAGTTTTAGCAATCACCAGGAGAGATGCTTTTCCTACCAAACGTAACTCCACCAATGAGGGACCTAAATTGATCTTGACTTTTCACCCTAACAATGTGGTTGCTTCCAAAGTATTCTTTCGTCATTTGGACATCCTCCGCTCTGATCCGGACACCAAGATTATCTTTAGTGAGAAACCTAGATTAGTTTACAGACGAGATCGCAACCTTAAAGACATACTTGTCCGAAGCCGACTCCCACCGATCCATACAGCACTTCCTCTTGGGACTACTCAGTGCTCACGCAGCACCTGCAAAACATGTCCTTTCGTTGTCCAGACTTCTTCGGTCAGTTTCCCTAATGGTTCTTTTCAAATTAGGGAACCTTTTACTTGCGAATCCCGCAACGTAATTTATGCAATTATCTGCAAACGATGCAGCATGGCATACATTGGGGAGACTGGCAGGAAGCTAGCTGATCGTTTCCGGGAACACCTCTCTGATATCGACAAGAAGACACTCAAACCAATCCCTCTTCATTTTAATAGCCCTGACCACAGCGGTAAAGATGACATATTTGTCACAGCATTAAAATCTTGCTCTGGCGATCATACTACCCGCCTCGCTTTGGAAAATCGCCTTATCCACAGCCTTGGCGTTCTTAGTCCAAGAGGTATCAATATCCAACATACCTTCATCTAAATAGTTCTAATCTTATTACATTTTAAATGTTAATTATTTTATTTTATTTCATATTATTACCATATTATATTTCTTATCAATATCATTTATGAATCATTAACACTTGCATTTCTTTTATTCCCAGTATTGTGACTATATTTTTTAGCCATCGTTTATTTTATTTTATTTCATTTATTCCGCATCACATTTTTTAAACGTCGCTCACGTCACCCCTTAGAGATCTACATACTCTCCATTCCTCTTTTGTGTAGTCCACTTGTGTTTGAAAAAGGCTGCCTGGCCGAAACGTTACGTTGTGTTGTTTTGTGCACGTTTTCCTTTTTCCCATTTTGTTGAGCTTTTTAGTCAAATTTCTCTGGAATTCATTGTATTAGCTTGACTGCAGTCACCCCCATAGTTTCACCACTCTATACACCCCAGAAGAAAAGAGATGTTATTTTTATGGGATATACCCGTATAATTTATGGGACACTGACAGTAGACATTTCGGGTTGAAATCCCAGACATGAATGGCAGAACAAGACAATGAATGTGTGAGAATCTGTTAAAAACCTGACAAGACACAATGATACATGCAGTTACCAATTTCAGTTAATATCCCATTTCAGATAGATATATAGAGGCTTGTTCGTTGATGTCTCTTTCTGAAAATACAAACGATAGATTTCACAATATATTGCGTGGCATAGTCGATGTATCACACCAGAGACATACTATTGCAACAATTTAAGAAATGAAGCGAATAAATTAATCATTTAAACCGAAATACAAAATCAACTACGCTCGAAGGCTTACTAGGCAAGAATTGTTTCATCTTCTCTTCGTGTGGGTTCCAGGGCCTATTGCGGAGCAATCAAAAATAGACCTGCTGCCTACTCATAAGCATGCCGTAAGAGTCAACTACTTGGAAGTTTCCTTCGAAGTAGGAGTAATCTGTATGAGGCAAGGAACCAACAGTCTGCAATTATGTGAGTCAGATCTTTGAAACAGATGTGCGGGGCAATATACAGGCTTTGGAATAGGACGAGTGTCCAGAAGTGAAAGAACACTCAGAACTTTCATAGGGAGTTTATAGCCAGTAAACGCAAAGACCAAGAAGAGGAAGTTTCACTACCATGTCTTCTTGTTTGTGAAATATGCCACTCAATAAATTGTGCAATCGGTTGGTTGTTTGTCTTCTTTGTTCTAAAGGGAACTACACCGCCACTAATTTGTGCAGTCTATTGTTTGTGTCCATGTTTATCACACGCACACACACATGCGCGCGCGCGCACACACACACAAAAACAAATAAATAAAATGAAAATAGAAGACAGTTTTATTCCACATGTTCCACCTTGCCATAATTAGATGTGTGTGGTTTCTTTTATACAATCAACATCGGTGTAGACACTTTTTATTGTGTGCCAGCAACTCCAGAAATCGCTGTCGTGTACAAGAACAGAATACATTGGGCATCGCCATTTCTGCGGTAACGTACAGTTTATAGCGTTCTTATATGACAGTGAATTATATACATTAAAATCACAATACGTAAAATTGATGTTTCCAATCACATATGGTAACAACCCAAACAGGTAATTGTCATCAATCCAGAGAAACGGTGTAACCTGTGCAGCCTGGTACAGTTCATCAATCAAGTCTGGGGTTAGTATTACAGTAAAACCTTGGCAGTATGGATACGAATATCTTGTCCTATTTGGGAAAATATGGGAATCCACTTTCCACTTACGATTTCTTCCTATGCGCATTGTATTTTTTGGAATTACCTTACAGAAAATAGTTCTTTTCTGTGTCTTCATTTGTGGTAAGAACAAATGAACCAGTGTAAACATATTTATTACTACATCGTCATCTATTTTCAGCACAAAAGCAGCATTTGGACAGTGATCTTTGACCCAACGAAGTCCCATAACTCCCTTCAATGTAAGGTTGTAATAATCATCGATGAAATATCCCATAACCGTATCGTTGTATGTTTTATGTTCCCGCCATAACTTCTCCGTTATTGCGCTATCCTTGGTTTTACCCAACAGGAAAGCAGTACGAATTTGGGCTGGGTAAAATAAAGATGTGTTCGCAAAAGTGGCTCTGATTCGTTGTCTTCTTTCAAAGTGTGTAGTTGCTGTATGCACGATAATGATGAAATCGATACTGGGAACATCTTTACAGAGATTACGATTGGAGAAGATATAGCTGCCGATTCTATTGACAGAATATATGGCTTCACTGTTCAGTGAAGGATTATTAAATTCTCTTTTGACCTCTGCAAGTCTGTTCTGTTGCAT